TGATGGGATTCAGGCCAAAGAAAACACAGTCTGACTGACAGGAAACAAGATTTCTGAGGATTCCCAAAGAGCTGCTGGCTGAAAACTGGGCAGATCTCCGCCTGGTGAGCAGGTTCAGAGCATCAGATTCTCATTCCTCCTTCAAGAATCCCCTGAAGAACCAGCTCTTCCAGAGTGTCTCTGGTCCTAAAGCTCTAAAGTCTCTTATTTCCTGATAGCATGTTCCATCAATGGATGCTAGCTGGGGACACTATGTTCTAGCTGAATGTTAAACCCTTAATGTTAAATCCTCTAGCAAATTGCACTAAAGCTAAGCCAAGACTGGAACTGGAGTTGGAGCTGAATGTTAAACCCTCTTTTTGGAAGTCGCTTTGGATAAAATAGTCTCAGCTAGATGCATAAATTTGAATGTAAATTATTTAGAGCCGTCCGCACCAGAGCGGGGCTCAGAAAACGCCCCGCACTGCCTCCATACCTGAGCTGCCGCCGCCGTCCGCCGACCTCCTGAGGCGCAGGGGACCCTGGGACACCAGATGGGCGCCGCTCTGGATGACGGCCTCCCTCTTGTGAAGGTGGTGACCACTGAGCAAGGTGGTGTTCATGCAGCCCTGTGCGCACCTGGTGTTGGGGTTCCCCGCTTCACACATCATGATTGAGCAGCTGATGTACACCTGAGGACAGAAACACACCATTCCAGCTGTGGACCTGTTCACAAATGGTTCTTAGTTTGTAAAAGTAGAATGGGAGGCAGAGCTTTCGGTTCTCAGGCCTGTCTCTTTGATTCCTAGGTTGTAAAGGTAGAATGGGAGGCAGAGCCTTTGGTTATCATGCCCATCTCTGTTGTTCCTATGTTGTAAAAGTAGAATAGTAGGCAGAGTCTTCGTTTATCAGGCCCTTCTCTTTGTTTCCTAGGTTGTAAAGGTAGAATGGAAGGCACAGCCTTCGGTTATCAGGCCTCTCTTAGTTGTTCCTAGATTATAAAAGTAGAATAGTAGGCAGAGCTTTCGGTTATCA